TATTTAAAAGTGGAAGTCAGTGATGATGAAACAGAACGAGGACCTTAAGAAAATGAAACCCCTGATTCCAGTTACACTTGTACTGGACTCTACTGAACTGTGGGGGTGTCTGGAGTTTGAGTAACAAGCTTGGTATCAGGTGTCTTTACTCAGGACACATGGCTCTTTCCCTGAAACCACAGCTTTCTTCTAGTGGCTTCTGAAGTGCCAAGCACTTCTTCAGTTGGGTTTACCCAAGAAGAATCAGAAACTGATTAGAGGAGTGTCTCCTTCCCTGTTGGGGTGTCTGTGGCCTAAGGTTTCAGGCAGACTGGCTCCTAGCAGAGTGTGACAGGAAGGCTGCCTGGCCCCAGAGACCTGCCACATGCCTTCTGAGTGACAAATATTTCACACCATGGGTTCCCAGCTTCTGTCCTTCCCCCTGCTCCATTGCTCAGTCTCTTCCTCATTCTTATACCCACACTTTACAATCCCTTTACTGCACCTCACCTTGTCCCTCCCTCACATGGGCCCCACTCACTGAGTTCCTTCACGAAAGGTGAGGAACCCAGCACTTCTCTGGTTTTATTTGTCTGGGAGAGCGATCTATGCATGTTTCTGTGTGCCAGGGCTTAAGGAGCTCTGGCGGTGCAGTGCCTAAGGCATTGGAGTGCTAACCAGAAAGCTTGGGGTTCAAATCCACATTTGTTGTAAGGAAGATGGGGCAATCTACTTTTGTTAAGATTTTACCACCTCAGAAACCCAGTGGGGGTCGCTATGAGTTGTAATCGACTCTAGGGCAGCGAGTTTGGTTTTCTGGTTACTTAGTACTGCTCTGACAAGAATAGACCACAAATGAGATGGCTTGAACAAACAGGAGTTTATTCTCTTACAGTTTGGGAAGCTAGAAGTGCGAGTTCAAAGCACCAGGCTCCAAGGGTTGGGTGAAAGTCCCTCGACCTTGGGCTTCAGCTCTGCCTCCTGCTCCCAGCCCACTGAAGCTAGAGGCTTTTCTTCACTCAGCTGGTGCTGCTGAGGCTGACAAGCCCAAGGCTGATAAATAAAAAAAGCACAATCCCAGTGTTAGCAAACTACACAGCAGGCCATTGAAAGTCCCAAGGTCGGCAGAGCAAGGCAGACTGCTGAACAATGATGTAGCTACATGCAGGATTCAAGTGTGCCATAAGCTAGAGACCATTCCCAAAGCTGTTTCTTATATACAGGAAGCAGACCACATACCCAAAGGCAGCTACTCAACTGCTCACAGTAGATTCCACCATGGAGTTGATTACCAGTCTCATCATGAGGAATACTACATCTAGCTGCCCAGCCACTCAACCAGGCCCAGCCAAATTGACACACAAACTTAACCACCACATTTGGTTTAGGGATTGTTTGCAGTGCGTTACTTACATAATTTCATAGAACTGGGCCCACAATTTGTTGTTGATGTGTGCTGTCAAGTTGATTCAGACTCTGTCTCTCTACATAGCAATCCTATATGTGAAGCAGGACTGCCCCATTGAGTTTCCTAGGCTGTAATCTCAATGGGAGCAAATCCCCAAGTCTTTTCCCTGGTAGAGCAACTGCTGGGTTCAAACTGCCTACCGTTCAGTCAGCAGCTAAGGATGTGGCAAAACCAGGATTCGGACTTACGCTTGTCCACCTCTAAAGCTCACATTTCCTGGGTTTTTAGATGCCCCATTCAGCTTCCTCAGCTTCCTAATCTCACAGTTTTGTTCTCATGCAGACTTGATGTTTTGCTTCCCCTTAGAATTTTTTTTTTTTTTAAAAAAAAAGGAAGAAAGGAAGGGAAGAACTTCTATCTTTTGAGGATTCTACTCCTAGAAAAACTAGAATGCCTTTTTTTCTCTTTTAAACAGGGGATATTTGAGAGCATCCCATCAAGTGGTTACCTTTCAACTTTGAAACCATGGAACCATTTCTTGGATAATGGTCGTCAGGACTCCAGCATGTAAACTGTGCAAGAGTGCTGCTGCCCTGATCGAAGTGGCAGGAGGTGGCGGGGGAGCTCCAAGACCTGGCTTCGCTATGTCCCTTACCTCCAGCGGCATGTCAGTGGAGCCTTCAAATTCTGTTGAACCCAATTAAAAAACTCCTGATAATCTTTCTTTTTAGAGACAAGCAAGCTGAGGCCCAGAGGGGGAAGTGGCTGGCAAAGTCAGAACAGAAGCAGAAAGGCCTTCCAGCTGCCAGCCTGCAGCTCTCTAGAGAAACCTCAGTTTGTGTATCTCTGTCCAAACCCAGGAGGACGCGTCATCTAGGAAGGAAGTCCAGGCAGGGGTACAACGGAGGAGAGGCTGGCCTTCTTTCTCCTCTTCCTCATTACCAACAGATTGAGTTCCCAGCCCCCTTGGGGAACGATGTGGGCCACGGAGGGGACAAACAAGAAACATGGGAAGATGCAAACAGAAGAATGAGGGAGGAGGTGACAAGGGGCCAGGTTTGATGGGCAAGAAGGAAGAGAGAGACGAGGCCACAGACAAGGACAGAGGTGACAAGGAGGAAGGAGCTTCCACTCCAGCTGAGGACCAGGAGGACTGGCCTGTGTCTGGGCCCTGGTCTTGCTCTGGAACCCCCTTGGGCAAGTCCTGACCCCTCTCCTGCCTCAGTTTCCTTTGAAGCTTTCTCTGCCCATGAGAGAAACACCTATGGGCTACAGCAGGGCGGTGTGGTATGAGAGCACAGCATACAGGCATCAGAAGGAGTTGGCCTGGCTTGGCCACAAATAGCTGGATGTCTTGAAACAGCTCAGAAGTCTACCTGGACCTTAATTTCCTTACCCATAAAATGTGGTGGGACAAGATGATCTCTTAGGTACTGTTTAGCTCTGAATTCAATAATCTGGGAGCCAGAGCCTATGCTTACGTTGCTGGGGAATGGGCAGACATGGGCTCCAGGGCACAGAATTGCAAGCTTAGAGCTAACAGGGACCTGACATTACGTAGTCTAGTTGTTGTTGTTAGGTGTCATGGAATTGATTTTTGACTCACAGTGACCCAATGTGACCAAGAAGAACTTACCTACAGGCTTTTCTAGGATGTAGAGTCCTGATGGCCAGTGGGTAAGCACTGAAAGGTCAGCAGTTAGAAACCACCAGCTGCTCTGTGAGAATAAGATGTGTCAGTCTGCTTCCGTAAAGATTCACAGCTTAGGAAACCCCATGGGGCAGTTCTACTCTGTTCTACAGGGTCACTAGGAGTCGGAATGGACTTGATGGTGGCGGGGTTACTTCTGGTTGATCTTTACAGTGGCAGATCGCCAGACCCTTCTCCTCAGAGCTGCTGGGTGGGTTTGAACCACCAACCTCTTGGTTGGCAGCTGAGCACTTAACCTATAGTTTAGTAATCTCATTTTATAGGTGAGAAAACTGGGTCTAGAAAGGCAAACTGACATTTCTGCCTCTGAGCTTTGTTCGTTTTTCTCCTCTGAACTTTAGAGTCTAAAGACTCAGCTTAAAACAGTTTTGTGCAGCGGATAAACTTTTTAGTTGTTCTCCTGAACATTTTATTGTCGTTGAATTTTTTGTTGTTGTTTTTTTCCAAAACCAATACATGTTCGTTATAAAATTTTGCATTAATACAGGAAGTGAAAAAAGTAGAAAAAAAAAAAAGAAGAAGAAAGAAGAGTGTTCTGCCCTCACTCCCTTGGTCTAAACTGTTAACAGTTTAGTGTGTATCCATCGTGACCTTTTTGATGAACACAAAACAAAAGAAAAGTGAAAAACCAAAAACAACCATTACCCATTGCCATGGAGTCGATTCTGATCCCCGCTCCCCTCAAATAGGATCATGATATAAATTGTCCAAACATAAACTTTAGAATCAAATACACCTGGGTTCTAATCTCAGCTAGGAGATACTTACCTGAGTGACTTTGGCTAAATTGCTCAACCTTTTTTAGCCTCAGTCTCCCCATGTGTAAAATGGGAGTAGTAAAGTATCTACCTTATAGGACTGTGGTAAAGATTTAATGAGATACTAGAGATGGTTAACAGTGCCTGGTGCATAGTAAGCACTACAGACATACAGAACACAGGGGTAGAGGGTCAGTTAGAGATTGCAAGTTTCCTGCCCCCTATCCGGATGTCTGTTTCCCACCCAGTCTCCATTGTTGTTAGGTGCCACTGAGTCGATGCCAACTCATAGCAACCCCACGTGATGGAGTAGAACTTCCCCATGGGGTTTCCTTGGCTGTAATCTTCTCGGGAGCAGGTCACCAAGTCTTTCTCCCACAGAGCCACTGGGTGAGTTTGAACTGCCAGCCTTTCGGTTAGCAGCTGAGCACTCAACCAATGCACCATTAGGGATCCTTCCAGCCCTGCTGGGCACATGTTAAGTGCTTCATACTTGTGGAATGACTGAGGTTGGTGGGGGCTACAGACCTAGAGATTTGAGGTCTGGAGTTCTTGGGATGCTTGCTCTAGAAAATGGTGGATTTCACCCTGTGGAGGGTGGAGTGGGCGGTGGGGGTATGGCATAATGTGTGTTGGCCAGACCAGTTGTTGCTCCAGGGCTCCTGGCTGGAGAGTTGAGCCTCATAGCAGAACTGAGGCCCAGAGTGCATCTCAGCTTAAAGGATCTAAAGGATCTTGGCTTAAAAGGAATGTGTAGTGGGCTGCCTCTGCTCAGGAGGGGCTAAAAAAAGCCTCACCCTCCCCTGGGCTTTGTGTGAGGGTTATCAACTGCTCAAGTCAGCTCATCTCTCTGGCTGTGACATTTTTGGGAGGGTCTGTTTCCCTGGCCCCTATGTGTGTCCACCAATTGGCAGGAAGGCCTCCCCGCCCCCCAGATGGAGCCCTTGAGGCGTGTGGGATTTGTGTGTGTGGGGGGAGAGCTAGTAGCCCCAAACCCAGCGACAATACAGTTGTCAGCTGTCCCTTGCTGACGTTTCTTCCTTTTATAGTCAGCAGCAGTTGCTCTTGCTCTCACCCAGCCCCTCTGTGGGGGCTCCTTGCCCAGGATAAAAGGGGAGAGAGGAGGTCTAGTCTCCTGTCTTGTCTCCTAGGCGCTGCATCTCTTGCTTCTTCCTTAGATCCCACCTCCACCGAAAAACCCAACAAGACAACATGCCTCCCAAGAAGCCAGAGCCTAAGAAGGAGGCGGCCAAGGCTCCAGCGCCAGCCCCAGCTCCAGCCCCAGCCCCAGCCCCTGAACCACCCAAGGAGCCTGCCTTTGACCCTAAGAGTATAAAGGTGAGTGAGCCACCAGGAGGGACATAGGGATGGTATTCAGGATTCTGTTTGCCCTGGGATTGATGTCAGCTGGGCTGGGATGAAGACTGTGGTGTCCTGTGGCCCAGATTACAGTCCCACGGGGGAGTGTGTGTGGGGCTAGTGAGGGGTGTCTCAGGGTGTAGGCCTTTTTCCTCAATAATAGGTTCTGCTTTGCCTTAGAAAGCTCTGCTCTGCTACACCAACTTGGCTCAGAGGAGTCAGGAATGGTGGGCAAGTGCAACCAAGCAACCATTCAACCGTTGTTTAAGGGCTGTGAGGGTCACCACAGCGAAGAAAAAGAGACTTTCTCCTCAGTGGTCTTGTGATATTTTTATGGAGAAAAAGCACATCGTGATGACTGGCAGTGTGATGTGGACTAAGGGGTGTAAGCAGAACTGGAACTCATGGAGCACGTGCCCTGCTTGCCGGGGCCTGGGAGGGCTTCCCTCACAAAGGCCCTTGCTCGGGGTAACAGGACTACAGAGAAGTAAAAAGAGCCTGGTTGCCTCTTCTCCTCTTTCCCTGCCTAGGCGGGCCCTTCCTTCTGTGGCCTCAGCCTTGGCTTCCACCTGCAGTGTGAGAGGACTGGCTCCAACGCAGGCTGAGACCCTCTCCCTACCCTGGTGTGGGAGCTAGGCATGGTTCCCTCTGCTTCCCCAGTCCCGGTCACTCTCTATCACACCCTACTCCCTCCCCTTACACTGCTGTGGTCCTCTCCCTGGAGCTGCGCGCAGCCCCCGCCTGTTGACTGCATCACTTAGGTCTCCCAGCTATGTGGCCCAGCTGCCGAAGGAGTGGAACTAGTGGGGTGGGGTGTGTGTGTGGGGGAGGGTAGATCAAGGAGGGCTGGGACCAGAGGCCTCTGGAGAGTGAAGCCATTTTCAGCCTTGGCACCGGAAGAAGAGGTCAAGTGGCTACTGGTATGAAGAGCTATTAATAACAGGTTGGGAGCAGTGGGCCTCTGGGGATCTCAGGCTTAGAGCAGGGCTGGTGTGGTGGAGAATAAGGTAAAAGGAAGTCCAGGACCAGGTTCTATGACAAATAGGCAGGGAAATGAAAACCTAGGGCTCTAATTGTACGACCCTCCCTACATTCCTGCCAGGGACTATGTGATTGTTTGCCAAGGGACATGGAGTTGAGCCATTATAATCCTCTACAAGGGACAAGAGTTAGCAAAGCTGTCTTGGCTAAGACTTAGACAGTTGCCTCATCTCTTGCTAAACCAGTTACTTGTTTATGGTGCACTCTGGGGAAATCAAGGCATAGTGTAAGACCTTAAAAGTACCCAGGTCATATATCACTCGCTCTATGGGCAGAGCCTGGCAAGAACAGCTGACCCTCCCCCGACTCAGGGTCCTTCCTAGGTTTTATTTCTGATTTGTTCTGATGAAGCACCACTCCAGTAGGTGCTTACCACTGCCAAGCCTGGTCCCTGGATGCTGGGCAACAGCTTCGTGGTGCCTTCTGAACTGTGTACCCCCAGTGGCCTATCACTTCCTTCCATTCACCCCTTGCCCATTTCTCGTGTTGCAATCCTCTTTGCCACATCTGGATCTTCCAATCCTGAAGATTGGAGGTTGTTTTAAAGTGAAGGCTGTGGGAAGTATCTTTCATGAAGATGTGATTGCACTTATCCATTTCTTTTGCTTAGAAGACTCTTTGCTCAAAGATAGAACAAAAGTGAATTTAACTCAACTTGTATGGTTGTGAACATATATTGATTTTTTTTTTTTTTTAAATCAATTTCTCTCGGACATTTACTCCTGGGGCTTAAACTGTTGCAAAATAAGGCAAACTGCACCTTTTTCTCAGAGTTTATGCAGAACATTCTTTACCCCATTTTCAGAATGTAGTACTTTCTTCTACTGTATTCAGCACTGAATTATTATGCATTAGGGGAAATTCCAAAATTTATTCTTCCCTGCCTCTCCCACCCTTCTTTAGTAAAGTCCACTCCTGGGACTGCTTGTTTCCTTCCCAAGCTAGCATGGTTATCTTTCTCCCACTCTCCAAGCCCATGCTAGCCACCTCAGAGGCCCTCATTAATAGAGGAGCTGGTGTGGATAGGACAGGCAGCGGAATTTGGACTAGGAGTGGTGGCACATGAAGAAGATGCTCCAGGATTGGTAACAGCCATCAGTGGAGAGAGGATTGGGGTGGGAGAGGAGATAAAGACATTGAAGTAACATACAAGATCCTAAATTAAAATGATGATTCACATTTATTCATTCTTCGTTCAATTCATTCATTTTCAGAACATAGTACTTTCCTCTTCTGTATTCAGCATTGAATTATTATGGCTTAGGGAAAAGTCCAAAATTTATTCCTTCATTCAGCAATTATTTATTGAGTGCCTACTATGTGCCAGGCATCAATGCACAACAACAAACATCCCTGGCTTCAGGGAGACAGAGCACACACAAAACCATACTAGAAAACATTTATGAAGCATCAAGGGTGCATGCAAAATACCCTTGCTGTCCCAGAGTGCCTAAGAGGGACATGTGCTGAAGGCGGGGTTGGAGTGGATTGGGGCATGAAGGAAGGTTTCATTAAAGGAAGTGCATTTAGAATCAGCATCAAGTAGAAAAAAGTGTCCATGGGTGGGGAGTGGTGTGTGCAAAGGCACAAGGCGGTTGGAGGATTGTGGAGTTCAGAGGGACTGAAGGGGTGAATGTGAGGGTGTTTATGGTTGGCTGGGATCAGGAACTTACATGGAACCCGAAGGAATTACGTGTAACAGAGAGTCAGTAGGTTCCAGAGTTGTCAAAGTAGCCTCTTTCTCTCTTCCCCTCTTGCCACAACTATCACTTAACAAGTGGCACGGAGGGAACTCTGCAGGCTGTATAATTTTAAAGCCTGTCATTTGAGGCCCATTTGTCAGTAGATCGGTGTTTTAGGCTTAGCCTGGAGCCTCCTGCTGGAGATGACCCAGATTGCAGTGGAAGCTACTGCTCTGTGGAAGCCTTTAGCAGCTCCAGCCCTGAGCCGTGTATTTTTCTTCCCTACAGATAGACTTCTCTGCTGACCAGATCGAAGGTGAGTACTAACAAGCCCACCTGCCCTAACCGGCCCTGTCTGTTCCACTTTTGTGGAGCAGCAGTAATAGTAATCATAACCGTAACTACCCCCCCCCCCAACAAAAACCCAAACTTACTGCCACCAAGTCAATTCCAACTTAGAGCAGCCCTACAGGACAGAGCGGAACTGCTCCATAGGGTTTTCAAGGCTGTGAATCTTTATGGAAGCAGACTGCCTCTTCTTTCTCCCATGGAATGGCTAGGGTTTGAACCCCCAACCTTTTGGTTAGCAGCCCAATGCTTTGACCACAGCACCACCAGAGGTCCTCCTATCAGAATTATGCAAACCTATATTGAGCACCTATTATGTGTTAGGCACAGTCCTATGCCCTTTATATGCATTAACTCATTTAATTCTCTGAGATAGGGACTCTTACCACCCCCATTTTACAGGTGGAAAAACTAAGGCACAGAGAGGTTGATGGCTTTCCCAGTCTCACACAGGCAATCAGTGGTGGAGCCAGGATTCAAAGTCACGTTATAGTGGAAAGAACACTATTTGGGAATCAGGAGACTTTGGTATTAGCCCTACTTCTGCCACTATTTGGCCATGAGATGTTGGGCAAGTTCCTTGACTTCTTTAAACCTTAATTTTCTTTTTTGCAAATTTAGCACATTTGGTTCTTTTCAATTTAGAAATTCTGTGACTCTATGCACCATGCTCTAGATAGTCCTCCATCTGTTTAAAGAGAGTTACCAAATCCCTTCCTAGCTTTAGAGTCTGCAGGCCTTATGGCTGCAGTCTCTTTCATGCTTTCTTCTCATAGGAACTAGCTCCTAACTTTTGACTTCTTTCACTGGTTCCTCTTTAGATTTCCATATCTTTTTAGAAAAGTATTGACCATCACGAGACTCGCTGTTCTAGTAACTATGGTGACTCTGCAGGCTCTTGAGGAAAAGCTTCTTCTGAGCCGTGAACATGTGTCTCCTGTAATACACTTCAGGATCACACAAACCTTTTTTTTTTTTTCTTTTGCCTAGTAGTAATCTTAAGGCTGCCTGGGTGGTGCAAATGGTTAAGTACTCACCCACTAACTGAAATCGAATGTGCCCGGGGGGCCTTGGAAGACAGGCCTGGCAATCTATTTCCGAAAGGTCACAGCCAAGAAAACCCTATGGAGTGCAATCTACTCTGTAACACGTGGAGTCACAATGGGTGGAAACCTCCTTGACAGGAACTTCTTTGTTTTTTTAGTAATCTTAAGCTTCAATGTTTGGTTTATCACATACCAGGCTATCAGGCTGGGTGACAGGCTGGAGCCTTAGCAGGTATAACAGGTTATTTCCTCCTCTTCTTTTCTTCCCACCATTTCCTTTGGGACAACATGGTTTCTTTGGGGCAAGAGAGACACATCTGCATCAGCCTATAAGTGAGGAGAGTAATACCTACACCGTGAGATGATTGGGAAGCTTCATGACATGATCCATTCAAATTTATCAGTTCAGAGCCTGGCCCTGTAAGTGGTCAAATTACAGGTCGTTGTTAGTGCCTGCTGTTCATGTTCCACCCTCCTACTAAGCATCATTATAGCTCTTTTTATGAAGAAACTTCCCTCTGTGATTAAATCTGGCCTCGCTCTTCTGAATGAACTAGAAGATCAAAAAGTCTCAGTTTAGATTCAACTAACAAAATATCTTTATTGAACGTTGAACTTGTGCCAGATACAGTGCTAATTGCTTGAAAAGTTAGAATAAAAAAGTTCCTTCTAATAAGGCTGAGAGTAAGTGCCATTTTACGGAGGAGAGAACCAAGGTTCAATAAGGGAAAGTGGCTTGGCTCAGATTCCAATAAAATGATAAAACTCAGTAAGAGTGCTCAGTGAGATAATAACATTTTTTGTTTGTTTGTTTTGAGCATTTACAATGGGCCAGGCATTGTGTTAAGGTTTTTACCTACAATTATTGTATTTAATTCTCACAAGGATCCTATGAGGTAGGTGCCATTTATAGAGGAGAAGAAGTTTAGGGAGGTTAATTATTTACTTGCCCAAGGCCACACAGCTAGTAAGCAATGGAAGTGGAATTTGAACTCAATTATTCAGTAATGTGAAAGATATGTAGTTTTATATCTTTTAAATAACGTTCAAAGCCTAATGAAGAATTGCAAGTAAAGTCTTGGGGGAACCTGCTTTAATAGGTGGAATGATTTGCAAATAATCCATACAAACCACTAAGTAAATAAGCATTTCTAAAGTACTTATAGAGGCTTAAAGACAGCTTTTCTCCTAAGTAGTTCAGACATTCTTCTTTGTTGATACTGTTAACTGCTTAGTAAAGTACTTCTTTTTGAATAGCATAAGGTGACTTCAGTGCCCTTCCAGTTCAAATTATCCTCAGTAACGAATTGGTTGAGTCCAATATAATAATACATCAAGGTTCTTTGCAAAGGGCCCAGCAGTGTCTTAATTTGGCTTTGCCCCTTGAACACCTAGGAACTCTGGTAGTGTAGTGCCTAAGGCACTTGACTGCTAACCAGAAGGCTGGCGGTTCAAACCCACCAGCCACTCCTCAGAAGGAAGGTTGGGCAATCTACTTCTGTAGTGATACAGCCTTGGAAACACAAGGAGGGGTCACTATGAGTTGGGTCTGACTTGATGGCATATAACAACAACAACAACTTGAACACCTGCCCTGGTACCTCCAGGGAATCCAGTCCCTATAGCTCTGGTAGCGTAGTGCCTAAGGCACTTGACTGCTAACCAGAAGGCTGGTGGTTCAAACCCACCAGCCACTCCTCGGAAGGAAGATGGGGCAATCTACTTCCGTAGTGATAGTGCCTCAGAAACCCAAGGAGGGGTCACTATGAGTCAGGTCCGACTCGAAGGCACCTAACAACAACAGCAACAACATAGTTCTGAGCTGGTGCCAGAACTAGTAAATGTAATATAGTTGATTTGTTTGAGTCCATTATCACATACTAGACATTGGACTTAGCCCACTATGTAATCTGCCCCAAAACCAAGTCATTGTATCTCCACTTATAGCTAACGAGGAAGGGCCCAGTGAAGTTAGTAGTTTTCCCAAGACCTCATGCAGGTCAGTGGCAGAGTTGGGGTGGTCTGGCTCCAAGGTCCCATTATCACTTAGCCTGGAACAGGCAGTACTGATAACACCTGATGTCAAACAGGTCTTATCCCTTTGCTTCCATATACTGCCACCTCCTTTGACATTCACAATAACTCAGAGGGGTGAGTAGGGTGGAGTCATTAGTTCCTGTGTGTGCACAAGGAGTGACATCTCATTGTGGCAGGGCCAAGATGAGAATCCAGGGCTCATGACTTCTGGTCCAGAGCTCTTTTCACTTCCTGTCATTTTTAGCAGCTAGGAACCTCACCTGCACCAGGGAGGGATGGGTGGGTGGGGAGGGGTGGAGAAAGGACATATTCCAATTATCTAACAACTGACTGATCAGAAGAGGTCCCAGAGAGGCCCAGTGCAGGAGCAGGCAGGGAGGCCCTGTTGGACCAGGCTGCCTCTAGTTTTCAGGAGATGGAATGAAAACAGGTTCCAGGGATGAGAAATACTGAAATATTTTAACAGTCATGTTGACCTGCTATTCAGCCTGGGTGGAGGCTGATCAGCCCCACCTACTGCCTTCACTTGGTCCAGGGGCTGCAGCTGGGTCTTCTCTCTGCAGAGTTCAAAGAGGCCTTCTCACTGTTTGACCGGACCCCGACTGGAGAGATGAAGATAACCTACGGGCAGTGTGGGGACGTGCTGCGGGCCCTGGGCCAGAACCCCACTAATGCTGAAGTGCTGCGTGTCCTGGGCAAACCCAAGCCTGAAGGTCAGCATGGGCTGAAGCAGGTGACCTCTGGTGCCTGCTCATAGCCCCTGGGCTCCTGGCCCACCCCTGTCTCCTGTGTTCACTCTCTCTCTTCTCCCCTTTAGTCCTCCAGGATCAGCCTCCCCTCCCCAAGTTACCCTCATCCCATAGAGAAAATTGATCTAGAAACTGCTGGCACTTACTCGCCCTTGAAGAATGTATCCTGGGCTCGCTCTCATTTCCTTCATGAAGTTGGGAGCTTCTGGAGAGCAGGGGCTACCTTCTTTTGCTTCTGTGACTTCCCCTGACTCCTTAGGATTAGAGATGGCCAGAAGAAAGGGCGGGTGGGAAGTTGATAACTAACCACCGCTCCTGTTCTCCACGGGGTCTGGGAGCTCTTGAGGTGCCACAGCACTGAGGTGTCAGGTGACTGTTATGAGTTGTATCACAAACAATTTGTTTCTACTAATGGTTACAACACCAAAGTTTGCAAATTATTCATTTTAGATAAATTAGAGCAGAATCAAGATTTGCTCTATAATGATTTTTTTTTCCACTTATTTGTGCCCTAATAGGTTTTGGTGAGTGAGAGTACAAAACATGGTACCTGGGGAGCTAGCGTCCTGGGAATTACACATGGAGAGTGTCCTATTCATGAATGCCCTTTTGTGTGTTTGACAGTGGGGGACAAATGTTAACAGCTGGCCTAAGCCACACGTGTCCTTCTCATCGTCAGAGGTATAGGCACTAGGGGGCGCCAGGTAGCCCTTGCAGGGGGCTCCCAGTAAGTGTGGGTCTCTCTAGAGGGTTCCTGGGCCTCATTTTGGCCCTCCCTCCTTTTTCCTCGGTTCTGGCTCTTTTCCCGCCTCTTGCCGAAGATACTAGTGGAGGGTTAAGGATATGAACTGAAAAGGGCCAGCGGGCTAGGAGATCATCCGTGTCAGCAAGGCTTCCAAGACACCTGGGCCACTTTTATTTTGGGGACTTTCTGGGTTGTTTGGTTCCCTGGGTGGCACAAAAGTACTTGACTACTAGCTGGAAGGTGGAGGTTCAAATCCACCAGAAGGCACCTTGCAAGACAGGCCTTGATGAGCTGCTTCTGCAAGCTCCTGGCCTTGAAAACCCCACGGAGCAGTTCCACACCTGCACACAGGGGGTCGCCACGAGTCAGAAGGGGCTTGACAGCAACAAGCAGCAACAACAACCAGGGCTGTTAAAAAAGGAAGAGATGCCAAACTCTGTGGTATCTAAAAATCATTTGTTTCTGCTACAGTGTGGAAGAAGTGTGACATTCACAACATAACTGCAAATTAATAAACATGATTGATTTGGAGTAACTCCAGACCATGTGGTCTACTACTGGGACCCAAATATAGTTATGCAAAAATTTCTTTTTTTGATCCTAACAGTTCTCTTCTGTGACCCTATGTCTGTCATGTGTCAGAAGTCTCAACCGTGAATGTGAGGCCTGGGCTGTGAGGCCCCTTGGGGCCCTTGCAATGCCCCTGCTGCCGCCTCAGCTCTGTGGCCTAGCTGGCTACCTGAGCTCGGAGATCTGGGTGGAATCCTGGTTCCTTTTCCCTTCAGTGCTTTCATGGAGCAAAGGGTGTCCCAGAGTCAGCTGCTGCCTTTCCCCATGGGCTCTGTGCCCTCTGGTGTCAGTGACGGGGTGGCCCACCCAGCAGTGGCTGCAGTCTAAGGCATGGCTGTTGTCTTAGATTTTGGTCTGACCTGGCAGACTGCTTACATTGCTTTCTCTCCTTGCCTGCACGTGCTTCAAGAGATGAATGCCAAGATGCTGGACTTCGAGACATTCCTGCCCATCTTGCAGCACATCTCCCGCAACAAGGAGCAGGGCACCTACGAGGACTTTGTGGAGGGGCTGCGCGTTTTCGACAAGGAGAGCAATGGCACAGTCATGGGCGCTGAGCTCCGGCATGTCCTGGCCACACTGGGTATGCCAGCCAGGCAGAGGCTGAGGCCCAAGGGGGCGGGGAGGTGGAATGAGAACACCAAGGTAGCATATGTTGTGGTGGGGTGTGGGGCCCCTGCACCCTGAGGGTCGGTCTCACCCTGATCCTGTATCCCTGGAGGGACTGTGAGAACACCCTTCCGCTGCAGGGTTTGCTCAGCAGGTACCAGGGTAGGGAGAAGAGAGGAGGCAGGCGCAGGTTGGCAGGGCAGGAGGCAGTTACTGCTGAGGCCTGGGTGGTGGGACATAGGAGTGCTGCCCTTGTCTTTGTCTCAGACTCTGGGGCCTTGGTCTGCTCACACCCGTGGTGGCTATAAGGCAAAGGTAGAGGCCTCAGAGATTGGGCAGGGCCTCCAAGACCCTTGGCTCCACCCTTCAAAGCCTCAGGAAAAGGCTTGGTGTGAACCACTTCCCAGCCCCAGGGAGCCTTGGGCCTTTAGACTGGAGGGGGTACTTGGGTTTTGCTTGCTTTCCTTTTGCCGTCTATAACAAAGAGTCCACTGCACGCCCCCCCAAGGGGAGAAGATGACAGAGGCTGAAGTGGAGCAGCTGTTAGCTGGGCAGGAGGATGCCAATGGCTGCATCAATTACGAAGGTATCAAGTCACGTTCTCGCTTTTTAGGCACTCGAGGGATGGGGGCAGGCACAGTCTGGGCTGCGTGGGTCTGTGGATGGTCTAGGGGCTGAAGGATATGAGCAGCAGATGGACTTGGTGGACTCCTGAAGGGTATCGTTCTTTTCCAGCCTGAGAGTGAGCATGATGATGGAATGAAAGGTACATAGATTTGGAGACAGCTCTGTGATATGCAGGCTGTGTTGGTTGGTTGTTGGTATGTGCCATCGAGTCGGATACGACTCGTAGCGACCCCTCCTTGGGTTTCCGAGGCAGTATCACTATAGAAGTAGATTGCCGAACCTTCCTTCCGAGGAGTGGCTGGTGGGTTTGAACGACCAGCCTTCTCGTTAGCAGTCAAGTGCCTTAAACACTATGCTACCAGAGATCCCATGCAGGCTTTAGAACCTTGAATAAGTCACTCACTTTCTCATGCCTCAATTTTCTCAGCTACAAAATGGGGAGGATGTTGGCACCTTTCTCAAGGCTGTGGGGACTAATTGAGTTAATGTAGCTCATTTGTTCTACGTCAAGCAGCAGCACACAGAGTGGACACAGAGCAGGGTTTAGGTCTCTTCCCTTTCTCCACCTTCTCTTAAACAGGAGAAAGAATCACAGAGGAGAGATGGCTGGAAGGGTTGGAGTCAGGTAGTAGAGGGCCCGGGGAGGGGGGGCAGGAGGTGTAAGAGGCTGAGAGGGAAATAAAGTGCCAAGAGGGGCCAATTTCATTAGATTATTTTCATCTTCTTTCCTAGCCTTTGTCAAGCACATCATGTCTGGGTAAAGCAGACTCCTCCAGGGTAAGTATAGCGTTTCCCTCTGGGTTCCTTCTGGGACTTAGGGACAACATATGCTCAAGAGCCCTTCTGTTCCAGTCCTGACCCCTGCAAGAGAGAACTGCATGGGATCAGTGCGTGAGAACATCCTGGCCCCTCATCACTTCCCATCTAACCTTAGTGTTTTGCTCCCTGTCACCTCCCCTCATTCCCTTTCCACCCTGTGTCCTGCCTTCCCTTGTCTTTTCATCCTACTTTTCCCCTCATCAGTCACATGCAAGATGATCCCTCAGTCCTGGGGCCTCCTATACAGCTTCCTGCGGCTGAGAACACAGGATCCCAAGTCCAAGAGTGTCCCTGGACTGTGTGCTTGACCCTGTTCCTCTTCCCTCCTCTGGGCTTGGGGTTGTCCTGCTAGGGAGATAGGATTTGTGGTAAGGGGCTGGGGGAGGGAAGGGGGAAATGTCCTTTCCATCTAGTGCTTTCTTGCAGGTATCTGGCCCTTGGCTTTTGCCAGCCTAGAGTAAGTGAGAGGCCCAGAGTAACTGAGCTGGAGCCAGAGTCCCGGACGTGTCATTGTACCAGAACCCCAAGGACCTCACAACCACACAGCCCTTCCTGTAAATAAACAGCCTAGGCAAAGCTGGGCTGAATTCCCTGATCCCAGCTAGTCTCTGAATTGTGTTTTTTGTGATAGTCTCAACTGAGGTTTCTTGTATATTTCTCAGACTAATGAGTACACCCAAGTCATTATGCAAAAATTGGTGTCATGAGAAAATGGGGCATGGCCACATCAGATCACAAAATGGAGGATGACTACATCATTATATAACTTACAAATTACATCAGACATAGTTATGTAACTGCCAAACCACTGAGAATCATGGCCTAGTCAAGCTGACACATAACCTTAACCATTACAGCCAGAATTACTCTTGCCTTGTACCTTGGCGTTTGTTACTGCAGACATATGTCATTCATGCACAAAATAATCTGATAGATTTTTTACTATTGTCATCAGTGTGAAATGTTGGATGAGATACTCTGTAAATGATGGATAGGTGTAGTATCTAGATGCTGGAAAGGCATGGACAAAAGCCCATGGATCTAGAAAAAGTAGGGTCAGACACACAAGCCAAAAACTCTAGAAGGATTTGCAGTTTGAGAAGCTGTAATCAGGAGGAGCGTCATTTCCTTTCAAGGTTCACTGTCCACCTTGTCTCGTCTCCAGGTGGCAGGCAGGAAGAGGAAAACTAGGAGCTGAGTTAGGGAGTTCCCAGATGGTCTTAGCTTCTTGATGTGGACTTCTTCCTGAGCTCAAAGTCCCTGGTTCCTGGTTCATCCCTGCTTGTTCTGGATATCTCACTGACCCCCTACTACAAATCCTGGGCTACAGACCTGGAGGCCAGCTCAGGACCCCAAAGAGTCAGAGTCAGGGACTTCAGGCTGGGAGGGCTGGGGAGTGGGAGGAGGCAAGTGGGGCAAGGAGAAAGACAAGCAATGATTGGGGAGAAGAAGAAAGATGATACGATGAAGTTAAAGACACACACATGACCAGAAACACTTATATTGGAGGTCAGGGGCCCAGTTATTTCGGTATGCGGGTCTCTACACTCCTGAGAACTCCTGCAAGATGAAGTAAATACTCTTCTCCGTGGCGTTTCTGCTGCCCTGTCAGGGCACCCAGCCACAGGACGTTGGTGGGACATCTCCTATGAATCTAGCCACACCTGCTTGCCACGGGAAGCTGAGGGTCATGAGCTGAAATTTAGTCTTCTCAGAATTTCTGCTCTGGTTAGAGAGGTAAGACTGAGGCCCATACATACTCCTTGTTATTTGAGGAAACTGTTTGAATCATAAAATCAGAGATCTTTATACATTTGGGACAACATCATTGAATCCAGTCATTTTCAAATGGTTTTAGCCCTATAGCATTTTGTTCAAACTAACTTCTATTGTGAAGCCAATATGTGAAGCAGAAGGGAACAGAGCTTCTCTAGCTGAGAAGGTGAGGGGCTGGGGTTCCAGCCTCTTGGAGCCTCTGGCTTCGCTCTTTGGAGCACAGCTAGAAGATTACTGATTTAGTTGGACCTCCTAATTGTGGAAATAAAGAAACCTATCCTTAGAGGTAAACTGACTCACCTAGCTCACAGCTAATAGAAGTTGAGTCCAGGTCTCCTGAATACCATTCTGTTCCCTTTTCCAACACATCAACCTGCTGTGGAACTTTTTTCCTACCTTGGTTCCTGAAATTTTGCTCTTCCATTTGCCTCCTACCTCTCAGACCACTCTTTTTCTTCAATCATACTCCCCAACTTGAATGCAAACATTCCTTCTCAGTGTTGAGAACTTAACAGGTTTTCTTCCCCCTCCTTTTCTTTTTCAACAAGTATTTATACTTTGTTGTATGCATTTGGGGTGAATTGAGGTTAAGGCTCTCAAGATTAAAAACCTGAAAAAGTGTTCTTGTCATAGAGTGGCTTACTCGAAGAGTCCAGTTAAGCAAGGAAATAAGCATCCAGGTGCTAGCGAGAGAATTAGCCTCAAACAGCATGGCAATGGCAGGATGCTGCTATCTATGTAACGGACAGTACAAGTTGCAATGCCCCTCCAAGAAGAGCTGAGGAAATGAGGTGCAATGAGGATTTTCCTCGGGGGGTGAGCTTCAAGTGAGACCTCCAGGGCAGACTTCCTGGAAAGAAAATGAACACAGCAAGTTAAAGGGAGCATTATTTTTTTTTTTTTTTCTATTTTTTTTAAAAATTGTGATTTGGATGAAAATGTACAGAGCAAATTTACTTTCCATACAGCAGTTCACATACACTTTGTCTCATGATATTGACTACAATTTACCACAATGCTCCCCTCCCATTTCCTCCTGATAGTTACCTCTTCCCTGTGTCCATCCCTCCGTGCACTCCTGCCCCCTGAGCTGTCTCCCTGTGCATAAGCAGCCCTTCTTTCTCCCATGATTGTTCTCTCCAAGGAGTGTATCTACCTCA